ACGTGGCACTTTTTTATAGGCCATCGCTCTTCTATAACTCGCTAAAGGCCGATAAAGGGCACACATGACACGTCTGAGGATGTCTCGTGATTCTTTAATGTTCTCATAACTGATTCAACATCTGTGTAAGCGCAAACTCTGAAAAAATTTCTAATATATGCACGTGGTGTGTGACACGTATCCACTGATGTGTAGAGACAAAATTTCACTATCTTCGCTATAAACTTTTTTATTTTCTATGTGTTTCGTATCCACCACAGTACACCCTGTCTCTTCTTCTTGGTTTACAAAGCATCTCCAAAAAAGACAAAAAACAAAGGAACAATTTCTTGAAACGTTCAATCAAAATTGATCCAAAGCTTCGCGGAGTTTGTTGAGAAAATTGTATTCAAGACGAAGGGTAATTCTGAAAATCACGATGGCAATGCTCGAGGATCAATCTGGCTCTGACATGGTTCACCGTTCTTCGATTCGTCAAGAGCCGTAAAATTCGTTCGTTCCTTGCGAAGGAAGAACTTAATCCAAATTGAAGAATAATATCGTCGGTTAATCCTGGCCCGAGGAACGGAGTTTCGCGAAAGAAAACCGTGAAAACGTCGACCTGGAATTGTCCGGATTTAAATATTTCGAGCAAGAGTTCAACTCTCTTTGCTCTTTCTCGTTATTCTGCCCCATAACATTCTCCATTTTTCTGCTGCTCTCACCGCGGCTATTTAACGAGAGTCTACTGTAACATTAGTATTAGCTGTTTTCCGAACCGACCCGAATAGTCGGGCCGCACAGCACTAATGTACAAGGTAAGTTCTCCATAAGCGCATCTATTGCATACATTGCATTAACACCCAACAAGTCGGGGCCATGGTAATCCAGGCATTAGCGTCATTGATTTACGAGGGAACGGTGCCAAAACTTTTTCACCCGGTTAACGTTCCATCCAGACTGTGCCAAAATCGAAATTTCGAAAAATTCCAACACCGTTTTTCATCATTTTCTATTTATTCCCACTCGCTTTTACTTTTCATCTTTTTATTAACAAGCCAAATTAAAAAAACTGTCGCAATCGTTATAACGAACGTTTTATAACGTATCCTTAATAAACCTGGCAAATTAATTAAAACACTTGCTTCGAGTAAATGCAACAATGTTTCCCACAGTTTTCCACGTTCAAACCGACGGCGACGTTTCATCAACGGAATACATTTTTGAAAAAAAGTAGGTAAACGTACTAAAATAGAGAAAAAAGGGGTGAAAAGGGAAAGCATAGACGTTCAAAGCGATGTCAAAGAAAATCGTTATTTACGAGAATACACGGTGCACGGACGACGCATCCCTTGACGAAAATTCAATTTTCATTTAAAAGAGATATGGTAAACGAGCCTTTGTCGCGCAGATTATCGCTTTCCGAGTTGTTCAGTTACCAGCATGTTGGTACAAAAGCGCTTTTTTTCCTATAACCATGCAAGCGTTCGCGTGTAACGACTAACAATTTTCTCCCCTTCTACTTTCTCCTGAAATATCGCAGCCTGGCCAGATTATAAATCACAAAGTTACACCATTTATCCGTGCATCGAATTCTATTACGCGAAAACCCCTGAATAGAACGCTTTTGCGTGGGAATAAGCGATACATGTTAAGACCAGGGTTGGAAAACCAAACTGAAGCTATTTTTGCAAATACTATCTCAAAATATGGTTCTTGGATTTCATTCCGTACTACACCGAACGTTCTAAATATTGCCTAAAATAAAAACGTATGGAACGAAAACAAATGTTTGTCGCAGCGAATTTTTCTTTTTCCAACGCTACCCTTAATGAATCCTGCGGTTTCATTTTAACGATCTGACGGAATTCTGGTCGTTCCGAGAGAAACAAGCTGAAGACCTTCGTTCAGGATCGATTTAACTTTGCCGTTGGCGTACCATCGGAAGTTAAATTAGTAGCAGGTCCATCCGCCAGAGTTGCATCATGTTCTAACGAGAAACATTCATTTTGCAAAAGGAAGGACATTCGCGTAAACATATTATCTTGGAAAACATAAATGTTCCAGTTCCATAAACCTTATGAATTAATGTGAAACACTTCGTTCCACAGCGAGGTGTGCTCGTTAACTTTAACGTACTAATTAATCCATTTTGAAATATACCCTTTCCCTCTTGCGCTATTTTGTTAATAATGCAAATATTTAAGTGTCATCCGTACTATTTAATAGTAATAAATATGATTGAAAAAGAGAAAACCGAAGAACTTTCCTCAGCGCCTAATGCATTATTCAGAAATCCCACGGAAGAGATTGAAAGCAAACCTTTCATCAGGCAACTACAAAACACGATAAGTAAACTTTCTATTAGATTGTAGCCTTTAAAACCGCGCTGTGGCTTTCGAAGCGCGACAGTAATTATCCTTAAGAAGTTTCGTTTATATTAAAATCAGCTTCGATAATCTAAGTGTAAGAAATATCAGGGAATTTTCAATGAACCGCGCGATCGATCACAATAAGATCGTTACATCGTTTTTCATCGGTCGAACGAAGATTTTCCAGATCCTGAGTGAAACTCTTTCTACTATCTCATTCTCTATGTTTTTCCACGCGCCCACCACTCGACGAGTCAGCTCATCGACATTATTACACGATGTCACTCGAGCTACGTAGGTATCGATTTCGAATCACACTGGCGGACCAATGGAGAAATTTAATTGGGGGCCGCGTAATTCCCAGTTCAATTCGAGCTAGCCTGCAAACGCTCGACGTGCCGGAAAAAATTACCTATCGCAGGATACGCTCGCAGAAAGTCGAGGCTGTCCGCATTGGTTGCGCTGCTAAAATCACTCGGGGGAAAAATTTATCCATTAAACCGATCCCTCACTGTGAAGATCACTCACTGGTAACGTTACACGAACGATCCCTACCTTTCGTTTCGACCGTGATCACTTTTAACCAACCTGATATATATATAACTTTAGACTTTCGTTACAAAACGGATTGAAACACGGAAAATAATTAACCGCGACGGTAGAAAAATAATATATAAACTCGTGAGAAATGGTATCATAAAATAAGAGATCCACCGGCACATTTTACCTGAATTTAACCGGTATAAAAGGATGCAAGGTTGAAAAAGTATGTAAAATGAAAAACGTGGCTGGGACGAGGATTACGTAGCTCGAAATGATTAAAGTAAGTTCTTATGGAATTTTTTTCGAAGGTAAATCCCTTCGAACTATTTAAATCGCACTGTTCGCTGTACTGCAAGCCCGCGTAATACGCCCGAACTATGCGGAAAGTATTTGAGGCGGAAACGAGAGAAGCAACTATTCTATGCTATATACGCAACTTCGAGATTTCTGGCAACCAAGGAAAAGCCACAGTAACTCGCTGTGCTGGCGTTGTACGAATCCACGCGAAATTACTATAGTGAGAATAATGGCTTTATTTGATACAAGACACCTACTAGACTTTCCCCCTTTTCGATTTCATCGTGGAATTTTAGAGATTTTATCAAATTAACAGGAGTTCACTGAATCTCGATTACGAGAACACTGATTAAAGAAATCATAAATTTTCTAAAATAATAAATCAGATTTAAAAAAAATTTCATAAACACAGATGTTTCTTGAAACATCAGATATATAGCAGTACCGTTCATCAGATCTACCATGGTTGCAGTTGCACGAGTTTAAATGCAATTTAACAGTGCATTGCAACCATGTCAATCGTTTTGTTTCCACGTTTAGGATCTTACTTAAGTCTCGAGACTGTAGCGAACTCGCAGAAGGGAACATATGCGGTTACCGTCTACGCGATATTGCTTGCCCCAAGGGTTTAATAACAACTTCTGCTAATAGATTCTCAGCTTTGTACAAAGCGTACATTTGCTACGCTTGTTTTACATCCAGAAAGAAAGCGATTGAATTTACAAAGGTCTTGTTTTTATTTCAATTTAAAGGAGAACTTCAATTTTTTCAGTAATTGTCATTCGATGTCAGGTTGAAATTGATTTCTCGCTCACAAAGAAAACCCGTATCCAATTTATCTATGTCTAATTGAAAGGTAGCAGTGCTTAATACAGGAATGAAATTTCTCTAGTAATTAAACTCTCGGTTTGAAGCTTTCGAGCGTGGCTTCAGCAGTGGATCGACGAGTTCTAAACGATCCCCGAACGGTTTCCGTAACTTCGAAACCCCGTGGACCGAAAAACGAAAGCCCCTTGAAGAATTTTCCTACTGAAACGCATCGAGATGGCACGTAAAGAAAATTGAATGCATTCCTCGACTACGTTTTCCCTTCGAATAACTACTGAAACATGTCTAACAACCATCGTTGTATCTAAAAACTTGAAACTTTATTTCCCCTTTCTGCTTTCTAATTTCCATCTGTCAACGATGTTTCGCGAAACTAATTTTGTCGATTTTATTGAAACTTTAAATTCAATGATATGCAATTACATTTGGCAAAAGCAGGAAAATCCACGTTGACCACGTACACCGACCAAGAAGAGTTACCACTCGGCTACAACATTAATTTCATTCCATAGATGGGGTCAGCATGAATATATAAATGTTTCAAACCCCGTGTGTTTTCGTTGATTAAAATATTAATACGTCGAAACAAAAATGTTTCCTGTCGAAAGACTGCGTTAAATTAATTGAACATCCGGAGGATGGAATTATAAATAAATATCGTTCGATCGATATGCATTTGTTCAATTACATAATTGATTATTTCAACTGTGACAACTTATGAACATCGTGAAGAATAAATATAAAACATCCGATTCCCTTTTGCTCGATCGCATCAGGCTTAAGGGCTGATTTTCAAGGGCGATTAATCTCGCGAATCGGGAGCAATAACTTTTATTCGTCGCGCGTTAATTCTGATAGCGACGCGACGCAGCCTGCACCGAAATCGTGTCGCGTTGGTTTGATCTCGACGTGGCTGGGCACGATCAATCGTTGCCGCGAATTATTCAATGTTATCGTTATCATAAATTCGCCGGTGACCTATTCTTGCTCGTTGGCTGGCACACCAGCCTCGGAATGATCCTGATAAATTATCGAGCACGGGCTTGCACCCTGCGCGCCCGTCGGCCACGCTGAAATTTTCATAGCAGTCGTACAGATCGGCCACGCAAATCCGATTCTAAAAACGTTTTCTGATTGATCTATCGGCTGACTATCGTTCGACCATCGTCCCAATTCCGTCCGTCGACGTTCGTCAACCTGTTGGCTGATTTTTGTTATCTTTCAAACTACGTATGCCGAGCCCCTATGTCGTCGATAATACCAGCTAAAATATTTCACGCGTTGTCTATTTAACAAAAATCCAGCTTCCTTCAGCTTTTCAGCGAAAATCTGATGAATTCGATCCTCTGACCAGTGGCTGAGAACTTCATCCAAACGATGGTTAAAAGGTACGCTGACTCTGAGAGTAATCTTGCAGACAGATTTTTATAGATATCTTTTTAATATTGTAGTATATTTTACAGAAATATTTTTTCAATCAAACGGATCATCGTGTATACTTATTATGTTCATTTCTTCGACACTTTGTAAGCTTTGCTGTTGGCTTCCCATGAAGAAAAGATAAATTTTAATTATCCCAAAACATACTATTCCAAGTATGGTATCTATTTTTTCAGCAACGCAGTAATGGTAGTACCTAAATCTATTAAAGTAGTGCTTCAAGGTCTTCCTTGGAATCTCTTGCAATTTCTTCTCATCTTCCTGATTAGCTGTTAAATTTTCTGACTCCGTATCTCGCGAGGCTTGCTTTCCTGTTAATGAAACCTGTTGCGGTAAAACCACAACTCGAGATATTCGTGATAAGAGTAAGAGAAACTTACGTCGCTTCGCGATTTCTTCCATTATTTTAAATATTTTCTATGTTATTGAAACACTTTCTTGACGCAATGATATTAATAATCACCCTGTAATGGACAAGTTCCAACAATCGTTACATTTTATTCCGATTAATCGATGAAATGTTTCATAAATTTATTCTCGAGATGTGTGAATCTGAACTGTTTGAATGAAATAGTTAACATTTAATGCTTTTATAATCTTCGTTGCTCAATGTGAATAATGCACTGATTAACGGAGGATCGTATAAAGTTTTTAATCGCTCTAAGCTGAAAAACGGGTTTCCTAAAACGTAATCCCCCATTTCTCTTGATTTTCGAATAGAGTAAAGTTGAGTGAAGCGCTTGAATATCCTCCTCGTTCTAAATCACCTCGCCACTTTCGCGTAACTTTCTCCAAAACGGCCAGTTACTCCGAAACTTGAAAGAACCCCGAGAAGACAAATAACGAAAGTTTTATATTGCATTCGGTACACTTCTGTAACGACTATCCGTTAAAGTAGTTAATAAATTCTCTGTGCGTAACGGTAACATGTTTATCGAAATTACACGCTTTAAATTCGAAGTTTTTCAAGAATTTTAAGAAATTGTAGAACAATTGAAATTTCGTGAAAAGCCTAAGGAAATGTAAGTTTCTGTAACGAAGGAAGAGCAGGCACTTTTGAATTCAAAGCCTCCTGTATGTTACTTTCGGTTTCGGTTCGTAGGAATGCAACCAATTCCCGGTTGCACACCTGACGATCACGACTCTCCTTAAATTACAACAGCAGAGAAACCGTGTCCCGGAGATTTCGTTGCTCGCGAACGTGTAATCTGGTCGCACGTAAAATGAGGGAGAACAAAACCCGATTACAATTCAACCCGACCGTATTTCAACGCTTCGAAACGCTCGATCCGGCAACGAAAATCGAGGCTGCCGATATTTCGTAAACGAAATTCTATTCCGTTCTAGCGAATCGCTCTGCCGAAAACACGCCACCGTAATAGGAAAAAATGTTTTCAAACGGATAGAATTAAAACATCGACGGAGAAGAGTCGCATAAATCTCGAAGCCACTTCAGTACTGGCTTGACGATAAAAAATGTTTTACCATTCACCCATAACCGTGCAATTCGATAAAATCTACATATTAATATACAATTTTATTTGCCAAGTTTCCTTTTCACGATAATATTTTCACGCAAGTACATTTTATTTATGTATTATTCCTTTTACCTGAGTCTTATGGAATGCTATGAAAATCGAAAAGCACGTGATAATATTTTATCGAGGTCTTAGCCTGAGATAAGGTTCCATAAAGATTCAAAATTATTTTAGAAAATTATATTTCTAACACTGTTTCACACTTTTCTTGAAAATTAAGACATAGGACTTGTAGTTAGATTTGAAAGATTCTACATTCAATTACAGAATTTCACTGACAAAATCACCTTTATCAGGAAGAAGATTTTTTTTTTCGACAGACGTAGTCGATAAATAAAAAAAGGTCGAAGGTTGTTTAATGTCTTTTTCGTTTTTCGAGCTTGTTTCAATTTAACTCCCACGAGATGAAACGATACGTGTGGGTACGAGAAAGTGGATGGAAACGAACCTTCTGACGGATTGCTTGCAAAGAATTCGATTGTTGTTTCACAATTTCAATTCAAACTATTGGAAAATGTATTCGGTTACGCACAGAGAATTCGAGACGTTTAATTTGCGTGTTTGTTGAAATCGTCTGAAAACGAATTCCAAAAAAGAGTGATTATGAATTCAATCACCTGAATAATCAATTATTATTCTAATTGAACCTTCTATATTGAACAGTAGTGCACTTGAAACTGGCACATGTCACCTTCGATTGTATTTGTTGCGATTTTTATGATCATTCGTATCAAAGCAACAAGTCATCACTGATAGTGTATACCTATTTCATTTTGAAGGTGATAATTTTAACAGCAAAATTATCTGTAAGAACCGTTCATAGTTTCATGACAAATGCAACGCTTTTATAAAACATTTTTATAATAAAAAATGTCGGAATTGAGAAATGAAAATAATTATATTTACAAATTCAGTAATCAAGCTTTCGTTCAAGAATAACATATGAATTTAAGAAGTTTCCCTGACAAACGGTAAAGAATAGAATTCAATAGAGTGAATCGTTTCCGTGGAACTCAATATTCCTTTTCACCATTCAGCTTCGTCATACTGTCTTCCTGATACATACACGTCGATTTCAAAAATTTCATTTCATAACCTGCCACGATACATTTACGATTAAGACCCCGTATGTTCTCTTACCAGACGACACTGCGGAATATCAATTCCGTTCAACGAAATGGAAGATGAATAAAATAAATCTTTGATTTGATTTTCCAAGCAACGAGTTTCGTGGATAATTTTCAAGCGAATCATTGATATCGTCAGCGAAGGGAAACCCATAAAGCAACCAGGAAGGAAATCTTTCCTGTGGAACAAGGATTCTTACGGAAACTTCATCCCGTCGAGTTTTCTCTTATGAAAAATGAGACAGCAGAACTGCTGTCTGGAAAGGACAGAAAATTAAACTAGGATAATGCGCTGTTGTTCCATTCGAATCCATGGAACCATTCTTTTACCTTCATCTTTAAGAACACCATTTTCTCCTTGTCGGATAATCATGTCGAAGTTAAAATCTCTCCGTAAAAAGCGCTTGAAAATCAATTACCAGCTTTGCTCCTTTCGTTTCGATCCGAGCCAGTGATTTTCTTTTTACACAATCGATTCGCTTAGAAAATTATCCCCTAAAAGTGAAGTGACGATGAATCTTCTACGATCCACGCCGCGAACCTCTTCAAATTGATATTACATTGCTTGATCGAGCAATCTTGTTAATGGCAACCAAACGATGATCGAGTTTCACTATGAAATCTGCAAGTAAATTGAAGAGCGCAATCGGACGGAGCAATAAAACTCGATGAAAACGATAACGAGCACCTCCAGCAATTATGCTACCTCGATGTATTCATTTCGTTTACAATCGTTGTCCATTTCACTTTTATTTCGTCACTCTTGTGCTTTAAAAACGCGCGAATAAATTCGCGGACTCGAAGGTACAGAGATTGATAATTTATCGAGAAATCGGATGAAGGGAAACGTGGAATTGGGAAAACGAGAAATCGCAGATGGCATCCGTGGCAGCAATAACAATGCAAATTCCTTGCATTAAGAAACTTCTGGTTTCTTAAATAACATCGAAGCCAATTCACGTCCTCGCATCGATTATCGAAACGCTCGGCAAATTATAACTTCGGATATAAATTCGAACGTTCCGCGAGATTCCGGAAGCGATTTAATTACCACCGGGAAGAAGTTCCCGGAGGGGGAGGGCCTGACAGACGCGTAATTTGCAAGATAATAGAAAAGTCGTGGATAAAAGAAGCTGCCCCTCACCGAATGGAATCCTGCCCGTGCCAACAGAAGGAAATAAAAAAAAAAGGGACTATACAGTTTTTTACGGGAAATAATTAAATTGATCCGACCTTTCTAAAGCTCGACTGTTTTCTTGGAATGCCCTTTCTTAAGACAAGACAGATAAAATTGGCAAGTTGACATCTATTCAGCTAACGAAAAATTTTGAGTAAGAAAAATATTAAAAATGATAATTAGAATAGGTAGAAAAATGTAGAAAAATTTTATTTTCACTTTTTCCTCGACCTTTCTATTGTACATTTTTTAATGCAAAGTTCCTTTTAAATGAAAATCTTGTTGACGACCTTTCATCTTGGTCTAACAATGAAATATTGAAGTGTTTTCTTGGGTTATTAATGACAAACTGTAGTACGTCTATGCGTGTAATACATACGCTGACAAACAATGAACGGTGTAAGCCTGCTAATTAATCAAATACCCCACCATATCCAAACGCGCGATTAATTCTCGAAACGTTCAACTTAGAAACGATCCGTCAGCCAGACGGGGTCGATACTCGCATTTAAACAGAACGTTCTGTACATATATAATATATACGTGTATCTTGCGGATGCTCACTGCGGTCGCGGAGACTCAACTTTCCAAAGACCAATAATCTTTGCCTTAATTGAACGGCGCAGGCAGAAACAAAGATTGAATCGTCGACGACCTGGCGCGATGGAATATTTCGGGAAGAATCTTATTATATACACTTTGATTGCCACGTTCAGTTGGCTGGTTATTCATTCGAAACAGGTCTCTCCGAGGTCCTTGCTTAAGATATAACTCAATTCTTAATTGCTAACCATTGTTATAATTAATTTTCTCATTGATAATAATGAAACAATCTTATTACTTATCACTTGGACTTCCTAATCTTCTCTGCATACAATTTCTTATCAATTTCACCGTTTCAGAGAATGTACTCATAATCACAATTGAAAATTGTACAAACATTCAACCCTACCTTACAAAAGGGTTCTTTGAATTCAAGAAAAAGAGAATTATGAATTTCCTATACATGTTTCATTTAACCTCCGAGAAAATTTGCTGGCAAATTCGAAAATAGAATACACAGGTCTTTGTATCGATCTTGGTAGAGCAAGAAAGGGGTGTGGACGGAGGTCGTACTAAAGAGATTAAACGCATCCGCCGGGTTCAAAGTGGTCCGCGTGTTCGCGTTTGAGGAGCGCAAAAGAAAATTAGAGTGGAATGAAAAGGAAGAGGTTAAAAGTAAGAGGAAGGTTGGATAGAAAATAAAAAAGGGTAGGAAGCGAGGAGGATGAAATCGCTTGGGTTGAGGGAACAGTAAATCTCGCGGTACCGCGTCACGACGATTTGCAGTCGGCGCTGCCACTAATTGCATGTCAGCCCCAATGTTTTGCGTTTTATCTGACCGGCACGTCGGCCCTGCTATCTACCAGCCGTTAACTGCCGCGTGAAATTCCACAGTCCTGATACGTATGTCTCTCTACTCGAAACCTGAATGTTCCATGGAGTCATCAGCAACGATTTCACTCGTTTAAGGATGAAGATATTTCGCGTCCCTTTTTTGCTAAACCCTTTAACCCTTTGACAGTTTTATTCCACGATTTAACCGGAGTTTAATTGCCCGGCCTTTGATCCAAGAACGAGAATTCGTTAATTTTTTAATTAATAACGCTTTAATTAAAATTTCCCATAAAGGACCTTCGTAATCGTTCATGGATGCTTGCGAATGGAATAAACATTCAAATATTCTCTCTCGATAATAGCGTGTCAGGTCAGAACAGTTTGTAAACTATTACATTGAAGTGCAGGGATACGAAAATATCAGAAACATGTGAGATTGATGGTTCCACGAAAATTTTTTTTTTTTTTTTTTTTTGTCACCCCTTTCCTGAGCACGACATTC